ATTTTAGGCATTTTGACCTTAAGGTATTTTGGTAATTTTGTTGTGTAATTAAGTGAATGAAAATTTACTTAATTCTGGAGTTGTCGCTCATGCCTATTTCTTTATGAAATAGACTTAACAAAATTACATTTTTTCATTTAAAATAAAATACCCATTAAAGTTATTCCACCATGGAATAGGCTATTCCTACTTGGAATAGGGTTATGCCTTATTCCTAAATGGAATAGGGTTTTGTGTGTGTATCCAAACACAAGGCACTGTTGTGAAATCCGCAAGTGCACATAATCGTGCAAGTAATAAAGATCAAGTAACGAGTGTTGAACCTCAAGAGAATTACTACTACCAAGTACCACACTAACTTATCTTATTTCTATTTCATTTATCATATTTTTAGAATGATTCAATGAAAAATAAAACAAAGTAGGAAAAAAAAAAAAAAAAATTTATCAATACTTAGGTAGGAACTCAATATGACTAAACCTATAGCATAGATTTCACACCAATTTAATCCTATGCATTGACAATTATCGTTAACCCAATTAAGCTTATTCTAAAGGCCGAACTCCCTAATATTTCGCTAACTTTCTCTCGAACAATTAACAAATTAACTCCTAATTACCAACCCAAATTATCTCTAATAAGATTTAAGCAATTGGAGATCATTAAGTTCTATGGAATTTACCAGAGCCTCACAGATCGCGGTAACCTAGCTCTAGCGTTCGCTCAATCTATGGTTTATTACCTTAGACTAATTAGGTTTCATCTTTCAATCTCAACCTAACCCATAAAATCGTTCAACTCTAGGGCCCTTAAGAATTGAAAGCTTTAATAATAAAACTTAGAACAAAACTTAATAAAAATTAGCAACAAATAATTCAATGCATATTCATAAAATTGGGCTACATCTTAGCCCTAGAAAATTAGTCCATACTTTCAATAATAAAGCAACCATTGTATTCATAAACATGAGTATAAGAAATAATAGAAAAACTTCTCTAATTGGTGACCCAAAATTGCAGGAATTTGCAATCTCCAAAGAACGGCTAAACTTCTCTCCTTTCTAATCTCCTTTCTAATATTAGCTAAAGACTTATATTTATACTCCTAGGGTTTTAGGGTTATGATTCCCACTATCCTAATCACTTTAGAACTCTTAAAACAGGAAATGCACATAATAAATTCAATGTTAAAAATTCTAGAATCCCAATTGTGCCACGACACTGTGCCTATGCATAGTTGATTCTACCGCAAAACTTTGCAATCTTGAAAATACTGTGATTTTTTAGCATGATAATGTTTGAATCTGGCTAAGCGGTAAGATATGAATTGTAGTCCTTTGAACAGCTTTCCAACGGTTCAAGAATCATTTCAATCCAAAATATACAGCTTAGCTTATTGTTGAATTACTAATGTGTGTTCAAAACTAGAGCGTTTTCCAGGATTTTCACTTTAACTTCAAATCACCATAACTTCTTTGTTTCAACTCTGAATCACAAACTGTTTGATTTTTGTCGTCCCACATTCCATTGTCAACATAATCTTCATCTGAATGTCATCTTTAAGAACTTATAACCCGAAAACACTCAAAACATACTTGTGATCTCATAAAAGTCATTTATGAAATAATTAAGTTAGATTGAATAAATTAAACCTAATTTCCCATAAGTAATTCTCATAAACCACTAAGTACACGTATATTTTCAAGCTCTTATCAGGCATTAAACCCTAGGCTTATATAAAGAAAAGGTTCAGCTAAAATGAAGAGAGAGAATTTAATTTATATCATTAAAAACCTAGCTGCCTCCTTTTGTCACTATCATCATAAATAGCACAAGATTGATCTACCAGTCAATCGATTCTTGTTCTTATCAGATTGGTTTCATGTGAACTACGTAAGTACGTGTCTATACTTGATACCACTTGTGAAGAAATCGTTTCTTTGAAGGGAAGGAGCCACCAATAGAGGTATAATCTATTTCCTTGTATGAATTTATATTAAAATGCACATATTCTTTGCTCTTGATCTTGGATTAGATTGGTTCTGGGCTTAATTTATTTTATTTTATTCTACTGCGTTTTTCCCAAATGACTAACACCACCTGGAAAATTTGCATTTTTCTTTTGGTTATGACTTATATCACACCATTGAACAATGTTAATCTATTAATTAATCACTCTTTTTGATTAGTTATGGCACATCAAAACACATGAAGGCTCAACATAACATTACCTTCTAGATAGATCGTTTTCAAGAAATATTGGTTTATCATTTATGTTCTAATTATTCCATCTGTTGCATGATTGTTTTCTTTTTCTAGAGCCCCGATGGATACACAGTGGCATCTGTGGCCAGAGATGAGACTATGAGAATCTGGAATGTCTTTGGGACCCTTGAAAAGGCTAAACCTGCGCCTAAAACAAAACATGAATCATTCTCTCATTTAATCATCCATTGAAGATCAAGACAAAAGCGGTCTAAGAATGCAATGTTGTCCTAATTCAACTATGAGATGTATTTTAATAAGCATGATCAGGACCATGAATGATGTTTTTTGTCTATACATTTGTTGGTATAATATACATACATTCATAGTTTAGAGTATTTTTTGCACTTGGATAAGTACATAATTCTTTTTCGTGCAGTATTATTAAATGGTTTATTTAATTTAATAAAGTTTCAATTAGAGATCAATTGACAGTGGAGGATCTAGTAGACATAGAAAGCAATGTTTGAAGTAATTGAAATATAATATTATGCACGTAGATATATTTTTATAGAGACACCAGATGAAAATCATATCCACATCTTATAATTTATTTATTTTCTTCTTTTGTGTTCATCATGTGCTTTACGTAAATTAAATATATAGCTTTAAATAAGAAGAAAATGGTCTAACTGTGACAATAGTCTGATTGCTGGTAGCAGCAAGCAAATATAATTTATAAGAAGCAGGCAACCAACAACACGCTGTTGTGAAGTCCTATCATATCTAAGATTAACACTAGTGCGGGAGAAATAGGGGAAGAAGAAGAAGAAAGAAATATGGGGAAAAAGAGAGGAAAAATAAAGAAATAAATTTTAACTCTTAAAGGTGGTTGTTGTATTTGCTAGAGGGAGGACATTAAATTTTGTTGACTTAGCAAGCCAAGCTATTATGGAGCTTGACTAGTGGCTCTATCCTCTATATAAGAAATGATCTCTCATTTGCATTGGCCATTCATTTGGTTTATGAACCAAGTGGCAAGAATGGAAGAAGAGAGACTGAGGAAAGAAAATGATAAAAGAGGGAAAAAAAAAAATTTGGAAGTGGGAGATAATTGTAGGATTTTAATCGAATAAAGTGTGGAATAATAAACAAAAATTTTATTCGAAACCCATTTAATCTTGGATTATAGATTGATGTTAATAACCCATTCAAAACAAACATATATATAAAAGATTGAAAACTGTTGACCTCTCATATGTTTTGCTGTGCCAAAACTATCTAAAAAGTTGATTGAACACTAACCATAACATGCTAAGGTATGACTCAAGTCATAACCAAACCAAAACAGGTCTAATAGGTGGTTCAATAGTGCATAAGCAATTTTTTGCTTAGGTACGATTGTGCATGATCAAGGCACGACCGTTCCTTAAGAAAAAGTTGTCGTGCAACATAGCATGACATCGTTCCTCTTGGTCGTTAAACACATTGCCAATTTGAAGTGGCACTTGCACGACCATGTGCCCAAGTTCAAAAGTCAATATAATTCAAATTCATAACACTTTGCGCTCTTGACTTAATCTCAAAGATCAAAGTCAAAACTCAAAGATCAAAATTGGAACAACTGTTCCTTGTGGTGGAATGACCATTTGTATCTGAAGAAGTTTTGCACGACATCGTTCCAAGAGGTCATTCACTCCTCTAGAAATTTAAGAAGATTTGAAAGAACATCTAGATGTGATCAGTTTGCATGATGGAATGACTGTGTAGTGGTCTTGCACAATCATACAACGTGGTGGAATTACTGTTCCAATTAACCTAGATCTAAAAAATATGACTGTTGTGTTAGGAAAGGCCGTTCACAATTATGGAACGACCGTTCCTATGGGTTCTATAGGCTTTATTAGAATTGTATTAAATGCTGCAACAACTAATTCTTTTTGGGTTATAAAAGTTCGACGCTCCTAGGTTATTTTACATAGAAGAGATAAGAAAAACTTCATAATATAATCCCTAGAGCTCAAGATCCAAATTAATACTCTCACTTGTACTCATCCTGTAAACCTTTGGGAGATCATTCGCTCTTATTGTGTGTAAATGCCTACTTGAAAGAGGCAATCAGTCACAAACTACTTTAAATCCTTTCCTTGGTGGCGAAATCCTGTAAAACTAGGTGCAATCCTGTAAATCTATGTGTGTAAGGCAAAAATCATTGTGAAAACTATTGTATGGGCAAAACCCGATTCTAATGGAACTTCAAGGAAGTTGCCTTGAAAAAGTGGATGTAGGAGGCTTGTGGATATAGCTTCAAACCACTATAAATTGTTGAGCATTTCTCTCTCTCTCTCTCTCTCTCTCTCTCTCTCTCTCTCTCTCTCTCTCAACTTCTTATTACATTGCATTGTTATTGGTTGAGCATCATTTATTGCACTTGTTCTTGCATTCATTATTCATACTTATTGTCTACAAGTTGAATGCATTTATTACTCTCTTCAAAGCATATTGTTTTTAGTAATATCTTTATCATTCTTGAGTTGTTGAGTTTAGTCATTGAACATTGTCTTGATAGACTCATCATTTGCTTTAAGCTTCATTGATAACTTGTGGAAAATATTTAATCATACTTAGGGTTTAACAATTGGTATCAAAGGTTGAGCTCTTGTGTTGAAAGCCTGACGATTTCAAGAGTTAATCGATCTACATGGCTGGTTCACCTACACCATTGTTTAGTGAGGTCATCGCACCACTAAACCCCTATTGTTTTGTGGTACTAACTACACACAATGGAGAACTAGAATGAGACTCCACATTAGATCTATAGAATATAACTTGTGGAAAATAGTTGAGCAAGGGAATTTTGTTCCCATGAATGAGTCAACGGCCCTTGCCAAAGATGAAGAACATTATACGACCGAAGATGAAAAGAAATTGATTCTAAATGATAAAGCTCTTAACATCTTGTTTTGCGCTCTTGATTCTACAGAGTTTGGAAGAGTTTTGGCATGCGAAACAACTGAAGATGCTTGGGAAAGTCTTCAAACCACTCATGAAGGAACAAGTCAAGTGAAGGAATCAAAGATTGAGATGTTATTCCGTGACTATGAGTTGTTTGGGATGAAAACTAGAGAAAGCATCATTGACATATACAAGAGATTCTCTAACCTAATAAATGATCTCAAAGGTCTTGGAAAGAGTTTTGCAACTCTTGAGCTTGTGAAGAAAATTCTTTGTTCATTGCCGGAAAGTTGAACAATGAGGGTGACCATAATTGAAGAATCAAAAGATCTCACTCAAATGAACATGGATGAGCTCATTGGTAGGTTATTGTCATTTGAGATGAAAAGAAAACCAAGAGAGGAAGAGACTAAGCCAAAGAGGGAGATTGCCCTCAAGACTGTGGATGAAGAAGAAGAAGGTGATAATTCTTCTATGGAAGAAGATGAAATCAACTTCTTAGCAAAGAGGTTCACAAAGTTTCTTGGAAGGAAAAAAAGATTCAAGGGAAAGCCATTCCAAAGATTCAAACCAAGAAACCAAGATGATAAAGGCAAATTGAAGATAATTTATCATGGATGTAAAAAGCCTAGTCATATCCGTCAAGATTCTCCTCAAGCTAAATGGAAGAAGAAGGACAAGAAGGAAAAATTCTACAAAAAAAAAGTTCTTGTCACCACTTGGAGTGGAGGTGATGGTTCAAGTGATGAGGATGAGTCAACTGAAGAGCAAGCCAACCTTTGTTTCATGGCTAAAGAAGATAATTCGGAAGGAGACTCCGAATCCGAGGTAAAAGACTCTCAACACTATTCTTTTCATGAATTGCAATGTTCATTTGAATCATTAATGGAANTTCTCCTCAAGCTAAATGGAAGAAGAAGGACAAGAAGGAAAAAAAAAAAAAAAAAAAGGTTCTTGTCGCCACTTGGAGTGGAGGTGATGATTCAAGTGATGAGGATTAGTCAAATGAAGAGCAAGCCAACCTTTGTTTCATGGCCAAAAAAGATAATTCGGAAGGAGACTCCGAATCCGAGGTAAAAGACTCTCAACACTATTCTTTTCATGAATTGCAATGTTCATTTGAATCATTAATGGAAGGATTTTAAAAATGGTCTTTAAAGAATAGAAAGTTGAAAAACCAAGCATGGATAACGAAAGTTGAATATGAGCAACTTTTGGATAATGTTGCAGAGCTTAAAAATGAAATTGATTGTGTTTCTTGAGATAAGATTGTTTTGGAAAGAGAATTAGATTATTATAAGATTATTTGTGATGTTTTGCAAAAGGAATATCTTGAATTGAAAAATGAGCTTGACAACACAAAAGAGATTTTGAGCAAATTCACTTCGGGAAGCAAAGGACTTGATGAAATTCTTACTTCACAAAGATGTGCTTTTAACAAAAAAAGTTTAGGTTATAACATGTTTTCAAATGAAAAACCTTTTGACAAATCACATGAACCATCCATTAATGCATTATCTAGAAAATATGGTTTTTGCAAGTATATTGGTCATAGCACACACAAATGTCCTATTAGGAAAGGCAAACCTTATGTGATAAAAAGGGTTTGGATTCCTAAGGGAATGATTGGAACTAACTCCCATGGACCTAAGACCATTTGGGTACCAAAAAGTACATGAATGTTTTCTTTGTGTAGGTATGTCTTGCAGCAATGAAATTTGGAGCAAACAAGTAGTTTCTTGATAGTGGATGCTCAAGACATATGACGGGAGACAAGAGCTTTTTCACCTCATTAAAGCCAAAGAATAAAGGAAATTTCCCTTTCTGTGACAACTCAAAAGGAAAGATCATTAGCATTGGTTCTATTGGTAACAAGTCTCTAACTATTCATGATATATTGCTTGTTTATGGATTAAAGCATAACTTGTTAAACATTAGTCAATTGAGTGACAAAGGCCTTAAAGTTGTTTTTCAATCCATGTGTTGTGAAGTTGTTAATTCTTGCACAAATAGCATTGCATTCATAGGTTATAAACATTCAAATGTTTATATTGTTGATTTGTGCAGCATTGCATCCAAAGATCTTTGTCTTGTGTCTACAAAAGATGAAAATAGTTGGCTTTGGTATAGAGGACTAGGTCATGCAAGCATAGATGTCATTACAAAGCTTTCTAAAAATGATTTAGTGCATGGTTTGCCTAAGCTTGTTTTCAAAAGAGATCATAGTTGTAATGCATGTGCTAAAGGCAAACAAACTCGTATTTGTTTACATCCAATAATGTTGTTTCAACTTCTAGACCTTTACAATTGTTGCATATGGATTTGTGTGGTCCCACAAGGACAACTAGTCTAGGAGGTAAGCATTATTGTTTTGTGATTGTTGATGATTACTCACGTTTTACTTGGGTATTGTTTCTTGCGCACAAAAATGATGCATTCAAATCATTCTTGCCATTGATTAGGAAGTTGCAAAACCAATTAGGCTATGCAATTACATGCACTAGAAGTGATCATGGAAAAGAATTTGAAAACACATTGTTTGAATCATATTTCAATAAGCATGGCATTGAGCATAATTTCTCAGCACCTAGGACTCCTCAACAAAATGGAGTTGTTGAGAGAAGAAATAGAGTTTTGGTAGAAATGGCTAAGACCATGTTGTGTGAGCATGACATACCTAGATATTTTTGGGCCGAAGCGGTTAATACTTCATGTTATATCATCAATAAAGCCATGATTAGGTCAATCCTCAAGAAAACTCCCTATGAGTTATTCAAAGGGAAAAAGTCAAATATTGCATATTTTTATCCCTTTGGTTCTAAATGCTTTGTGCTTAATAATGGTAAGGACAACCTTGGAAAATTCGAGGTCAAATCGGATGAAGCAACTTTCCTTGGTTATTCTTCACATTCAAAAGCATATAGTCTTCAACAAAAGAACTCTCTTAGTTGAAGAATCTATACATGTGTTATTTGATGAATCTTCTTCTAAGAATGTAGGAAATAATACTGAAGAGGAGATTGATGAGATGATGAAAGAACTAGAGATCAATGATAAAAACATCTCTATCAAATCCAAAAAAAAAAATAAATAAATAAGAATATCAAGAAGAATCATGGCCTCAAAGAACGATAAGGGAGATTTCTTTTCCAAGAGTGAAAGATGCACAAATCATTCGAGATCCCACTCAAAGAGTAAAAACAAGGGCATCAATGAGGAATACATGCCAATACATAGCATTCTTGACTCATGTTGAACCTAAGAAAGTGGATGAAGCTCTTAGTTCTGAAAATTGGGTTCAAACAATGCAATAGGAGTTAAATCAATTCCAGAGATGCAAAGTATAGGAACTTGTTCCTAGATCGAAAGACCATCCAATCATTGGCACCAAATGGGTAATTCGGAACAAGATTGATGAGAAAGGTATTGTGCTAAGAAACAAAGCAAGGTTAGTTGCTCAAGACTACTCTCAAGAGGAAAGTATTGATTTCGATGAAACCTATGCCCCCGTTGCTAGATTAGAAGCTATTAGAATGTTACTTGCTTATAAATTCCATTTAAATTTCAAACTTTTTCAAATGGATGTTATAAGTGCATTTCTAAATGGTTTCATTCAAGAAGTGCTTTATGTGAAACAACCACCTGAATTTAAAAACCCTAATTTTCCTGAACATGTTTTTAAACTCTCAAAAACACTTTATGGTCTAAAACAAGCTCCTACAGCTTGGTATGATAGATTGAGTAGTTTTCTTGTTCAAAATGGTTTTCCAAAAGGAAAGTTGGATACTACCTTGTTCACCAAAAAGAATAAACAAGACATCTTGGTAGTTCAAATCTATGTTAATGATATCATCTTTGGTGCTACTAATGAAATCCTTTGCAAGGGATTTTCTAAGATGATACAGAGGGAATTCGAGAAAAGCATGATGGGAGAACTAAATTATTTTCTCGGATTACAAATCAAGCAACAAAAGGAAGGGATCTTGTTGAATCAATCCAAGTACACTCTTGATCTCCTCAAGTGTTTCAAGATGAATGAGGCAAAAGATCAACCAACTCCTATGAGCACATCACTCAAATTGGAAACCGATGAGGGAGGTAAAAGTATTGATTCTAAGCTTTATAGAAGCATGATAGGCACTTTATTGTATTTAACTATATCTAGGCCGAACATATTATTTAGTGTATGCATGTGTACACGTTTCCAATCTTGTCCTAAAGAATCTCATTTGAATGCTGAAAATAATTCTTAAGTACTTGAAAGGAACTCCAAATATTGGTTTATGGTATCCTAAAGGATCATCTTTTAGTCTTATAGGATATTCAGATGCCGATTTTAGAGGATGTAGGATAGATAGGAAGAGCATTAGTGGAACATGTCAATTCTTAGAAAGCATGCTAGTCTCATGGTTTTCAAAGAAACAAAATTCAATTGCTACTTTAACCACAGAAGCTTAGTATGTGTCAGCGGCTAGTTATTGTGCACAACTTCTTTGGATGAAGCAACAACTTGAAGATTTTGGTTGCAAAATGCATAGCATTCATATTCATTGTGATAATACAAGTGCTATAAATTTGTCTAAAAATCATATACGTCATTCTAGAACAAAGCATATAGACATTAGACATCATTTCATATGTGATCATGTTAGCAAAGGTGATATTACGCTTAAATTGGTTAATACTAATCACAATTGGCCAACATCTTTACTAAATCTTTTGATAAAGAAAGATTCTACACCGTTCGAAGAGAGCTTGGTATGATAAATGCGAATCAGGTATGATTCATCATCCTATGCAATTATCTTATGTGTGAAATTGGTTGAGATGACATGTTTTGTGTGCACGTTGAAAATTTGTTTAAGTTGATTGCTATAACATACTTTGTGTGGTTGTTTTTGCATGTGTCAAAAATGCAAATACTCTTATATAACCCCATTAGTGACTTGATCCATCGAATTGCAAAGATAAAAGGTTAGGATTATGAGTTGGGTACTCAAAAATCTGATTTTGCAACAACCCGTATAAAGAAATCTATACATGCTTCTCCAAAGGGGACCGATAAGGTACATTAGATAGTGGACATAAGAATCACTAAGTGGTAAGTCTTCTCACGAAGATGGGAAAACATTCAGCTCATATGTAAGATTAAGATTGTATTTTCAACATATGAATGGCAAATTGTTGACAAATGTGTGTTTGAATGGTTGAATTAGTGTTTTGAATGAGGAAAAGTCAAAATGATACAATCATGTGGTTAATATCAATCTTGACATTTTTTTTCTCATATATGG